AGTAACCCCAAGCCCAGAATATACATTAATGCCCATATCCCATCATTAATACTTTATAAACAATGAAACAAAAGCCTCAAGACATTAATATTACTTGGTATAAGAACCTGAACATGGCTTGCTATCTATCTGTAATATGGATTGGGGTTTTGCTCTAGAACCAAGTCACATGTCTGCTATAAGACAACCAAGCATCTACTTGTGTGAATTATAAAAATAAGTGGAATGGGAAAGTGCTATTCTATAATAAGGCAAATAATAGTAAAGAAACTAGTACGACACAAGCTAGATCAAATGTCTTCTAAATAAGATACAATCATGTCAATATTCTGAAACCAACAGAGCAAAGGGGCAGACTATGATAGTGCATGCCTATAATCCAGCTACTGGGGAGACAGAGTGAGGAAGGTTGCATGTTTGAGACCAGTCGGTAACTTACTGAGATCTTGTCTCACACTGATTAAAAGGAGTTTCTACACCGTATCTCAGTGCTGTTCTGTTGCTATCATGATGAAGACCCTATGTTCAACCTCAGAACCAAAAGAAAAGGCTTGGGGTCCGGTGAGGGACTAAGAATTTGATGCAAATGAATCTGAGCTCTGTATTTAAGTTAACAAATCACAGAATTTCAGACCTAAGGAGACACATTAGGGAGGCTTTGCTTCCTTCCATTGCCCTTGATATCACAGAGGATAAAGCCAATCCCTGGTGCTAACATGACTTCTCCAAGGTCTTGCAATTTGAGATGCACAAATTCTAACACATACCCGACTTAATTAGCCCACTTGGAAATCTCTCAAAGTCAAGAGTGTAAATGTGAAAACAAAAGGTCATTTTTATTAACCTAGATTTCTAAACCACATCACAGGTGCCAATCCGCACGGACAATGACAGGCCGTGAGAAAGGAAAGGGAAACAGATGTTGCTTTAAGGTATAGACAATCCCATCTTTCCCTGCTATACCTAATCGGAAAATCCATATCCCCCTCCTTGCAAACCAGAGACAGAATGTTAGGGAAACAAACCCCTGTGTGAATTTCCATTTTCAAATGTTACATGCCTGCAGACAAGTTATGGAAAGTGCAGTTACTCCTCAGTGTAAGCCACAGGAAGATTCCCTCCTTCTCTCTGCCTCGCACATGCCTAGAAAAAGTGCCTCATCTCAAGAATTTCTCCAGGGCTCTGGTCTGTTTGTGATCTAGGAGACAGGAGTAAGTACCTTGGTGCCTGGGCTCTGCACGTCTGGTGACAGTAGAAGCTCCAGAATACAGGCTTACAGTGGTGTCATCCTCATCGAGCATATCCCTCGTGCTGCTGTATTTGGCCTGCATCCTGATTCCTGCAGAGATGCGGGTGAGATGTGCTCAGAGTGCTCCGGGCCCAGTGTCTAACGTCAGATACCTCAGGAAACCAGGCACGGGGAGGCATTCCTAATGGTCTCTCCCTGCAGGCAGCAGGGGAAGCCTCTGACTCCAGTTCCTGCATGGAGAGGCCCAGCCCCTCCCCTGTGAGCTTGTACTCAGAATGCCAAGTTGGTCTGACTGAGGGGAAATCGCATGTTTTCTGGCTGGGCGGTCCCTGAACAGTTACTACACTATCTGCATTTTTTCAGACCCATGTGTGTATCTGTTTACAAGTCTTTCGATTGCAAGGTGGGGATGACATGCCCACCCACAGCAGCACTCAGGGTCCTCTGACTAAAGCATAATCAGAGCTGGACACAGCTTCTCACCCAGCATGCATTACGGGATGATTACTCACCTGTACCTTTGGGGACTGAGAGGACACTTCCTGTTTCCAAGGGCAGAGTGCAAAGCATCATTCAGGGGAAGTCCGAGCAGCGGGCCCCCTGAGAGAATCCAGTCGATTCGGTTCTTACATTTTACTCACAAAGAAATGAAAAGCTATCTAGGCGAAATGCGTTCTTTAGGTTCTTTAGAAGTCACAAAGCTGATCAGGGTCAGATTAGCTCTGAAGGGTCTCTCCTGGTGTCAACTTCATGCTCTTCCTTCTTAAAGTATCTGGACTTGATTTCACATTTTGTAACACACCAGGCACATTGTAATCATGAGCAATCCTTTGCTCTGGTAGCAGTCCCAACTTACAGCACTGTTACTAACCACTGTGCAATTCGGGGAAGACAACTAGCAATGTGTGCCCACACTTGGTAAGGCAAGACATGAAAAGAGAAAATTGTCTCAGTGTCCAGCAGCTCCTCCCGAATCAGTGCACTTTAATTCTCTTATTTGGCTGGTTTTTGTGTAGCAACAACAGAATCCCCTAAGAGCAGATAATTCATACATGCTAAAAATAATTTCTCATAGTTCTGCTTCAGGATCAAGATGTTGACACATTCAATGGTGAGATGAGGGATGCAACCTCTGAGTGCTACACTGCGGCCATCAAATGATGGACGGAGTGATGTCAAGGCACTAAACACTCTCTCTTTCTGTGTGTGTGTGTGTGTGTGTGTGTGTGTGTGTGTTTATGCAGGCGGGGGGTATAAATGGCTGGCAAAGACAAGCACACTAAATACCAGCTAGTGTTCAAACAGAGTTAAGGCTGCCGGAACCTATAAGAGACCATCAGAAACTACAGATGGTGAGTTAACATATGTTTCAAACTGTATGCTGTTACCCTACTGTTATATAAGATGAGTAATGATGGGAACCCTTTATTGAATAACAACTAGTTAAAAAGTCGCAGGGCTTTTGCATTGGGCTGAGTATCAGAATGCTGTAGAGGGAAGGAGGCAGTAAGGACTCTGAAGGTCAAGGTATGTGAATTGCAGAGGACGTGAAGAAGCTAGAGCGTTAAAAATTACAGAGCAGCTGTGGTAGTGCACATCTGTAACCCCATAATTCACAGGGATCACAAATTCAAAGTCAGTCTGCACTTATAGAAAGACTCTGGAAAAGGGGAAGACAGAGTAAAAGGAAGGGAGAGAGATGGGGGAAGGAGGCAGGGAGCTAGGGAGGAAGGAGGAAGATAAGGGGAGAGGAAGAGGGAGGCAAGGGTGTGGGAGAGACATTACAAACAGAACAGAAACATAAGAGGGGGTTCCACTAATTATGCTTCTCATGAAACAGTAAAACGGTAACCAGAACTGTTTGTCGAGTTGTGGTTATCCAAGTAGCTCCTTGCTGATTTTTAACCACACGTACTGACATTTGTACTATGTCCCTTAAATACTTATTTCAACAACGAAAATACTTTTTAAGCATGCTATGCTGTAGATACAAAGACTTTTGGATACAAACACCCCCGGCTTTTTTAGAGCTTATGTCCTATGGAGAAAATTCGTCTGCTGTAAGTGTTGAGGCAAATGTACAAAGGGCCAAGAAGTTCAAGGAAGGCAAAGGGAGAGGCTGATGGTTGAAAACAGAGTAAGCAGAAGATGCCTCATTGGCTTAGGAGGTGAAATGCGTGCAGACTTAGGAAACAAGACTCTGCAGCCCTCTCAGTGAGACTCTCAGTGAGACGGAAGAGAAACACAAAGATTTGAGAAGGAAACATGCAGATGGGGCCAAGAGAAGCCAGCAACCTTACTGGAGAAGTAGAGGGGTCAGAGGTACCGAGAAGGATGAAGGGACTTAGAGCACATGAGGTTTTAAGGCAATTAAAAAGGCCCCTTTTGCTATTATAGTTTTGCTTTCGCTCGGAAACATGTTAAGCGGTCAATGAGAGTTTGGCTTGGTTCAGCTGCCCCTGTAGATTTCTCCATCGTGATCTTGGCCTCCCATGCCCATATGTTCCCTCCTCATTCTCTTCGCCTGGATTCCAGGAGCTGGGCCTGCTTCTTAGTTGTGAATCTCTGCATCTGGTTCCATCAATTACTGGATGAAGGCTCTATGATTATAGTTGAGCTCATTCACCAATCTGATTATAAGGGTAGGCCAGTTCAGGCTCCTCTCCACTATTGCTAGGAATCTGAGCTGGGGTCCTCCTTGTGGATTCTTGGGAATTACCCTAGCACCGGGTTTCTCCCTAACTGAATAATAGCTCTCTCTATTAAGATATCTCTTTCATTGCTCTTCTACTTCAAGCTCTTCCCAATTTAGACCATCCTGTCCCCTCATGTTCTCATTTCCCCCCCCCCTTACCAGCCCCCACCAGTTTTCCCAGGAGATCTCATCTAATTTCCGTTCCTAGGGTGATCCATGTGTCCCTCTTAGGGTCCACCTTGTTACCTAGCTTCTCTAGGGTTGCGGATAACAGTCTGGTTTTCCTTTGCTTTACATCTAACATCCATTTATGAATGGGTAAATACTGTTTGTCTTTCTGGGTCTAGGTTAGTTACCTCACTCAAAGCTCATGGAAACTCATGAAGTCCAGACCACAGCTGTGAAGACTCCATGAGATCGAACTAGAACCAGCCCCCTCCCCCCCGTATGTGGGAGTCAGTTGTGAAGCTTGGACCATCTGAAGGTTTCCTGGCAGTAGGACCAGGATCTAACCCTTGTACATGAGCTAGCTTGTTGGTACTTATTCCCTATGGTGGGATACCATGCTTAGTCTTAATGCATGGAGAAAGGGCTTGGTCCTGCCCAAACTTAATGTTCCAGACTTTGTTGACTCCTCATGGGAGCCCTTACCTTTGAGGAGGCATGGCCTGGGAAGGGGGTTGCTGAGGGGAGGTGAGAGGAGGTGGAAGGAGGGGTGGGTGGGAAAACTTTGTTTGGAGTTCAAAATGAAATTAAAAAGTAAATGTATAAAAAGAAGTCAATGGGAGCTTTTAGTAGAGACCTAGCATGACTATTTTAATTTAAAAAAAAAAACAAAAAAACAAAAAACATTTTATAGATTCTTTGTGGATTCACGTCACGCATCCCAATCCCATTCATCTCTCCATCCTTTCATATCCATCCTCTGCCCTGTTAACCTCCCTCCCCAAAAGATACATTTTAAGGGAAAAACAAAAACAAGCAAACACAGAAGTCTCATCATGAAAGCTGTAGTGTGAACACACTGAGTCACACAGTATAACTTTAGTCCATACATACATCTTTATTTGTAAGTATTCATGGCTATGAGTATTGGTCTAGTTCGAGGCCTCTGTCCCCTCCATACTGGGCCCTCACTGGGACTCCTCTTGGACATCCTGTTGTTGCCTTGTGTCATAGAGACCCTGGGCCCTCACTGGGACTCCTCTTGGATCCTTGTGTCATAGAGACCCTGCAGCTTTGGGTCTGTAAGTCTGTCTCCTTTGCATTCTCCAGCAGTTCACAGATGAGATGGATGTTGGGGTAGTCCAACTCATAACCCTGGTTCTGGGCCTGGTGGTAGCTGTGTTGGCCAGCCTGTCAGTTGTCCATCGTTGACACCACCAGGAGGAACTCTCCAGCAGAGCCCTGGCTAGCTCATCTGCTGCAGTAGTTTAACCAACCTACCCTGCTAAGTTTGAAACACATTGTGCGGATATAAAGACAAAGATTATGGACAACTCCCCAAGTTATTGTGGTGTTCAAGGCAATTGAGTATAGGAGTCCTTCCATAGATGTTTCCTCAGAGTTAACCATCTGGAATTCATCCTTCAAAATTGAGCCCAGCTAGCAGCTGCTGTCCCATCTCTGTCCCTTGAACAAATGTGTGCATTTCTGTTCACATGTCCATTAACATGTAAGTGTTCATGTAAACAGTCTGTCAGCATGTCAGGTAATAGTACACCCTGGGCCCCCTAGAGCAGTGTCCTTTCCCCATAGCTCTGGTCCTACTTGACCTTTTACCTACATACTGGAGGATCTCTCACTGACTGTACTAGTTAGCAACCAGATTTATTTTCTTTGATGATGGCTTCTTGAATTTATCTGTCAGGACCCAGAAAGAGCCAATAATCAAATTGGAACTAATATTAAAGTATTTGCTCATTAGGCTGAGGAGGTGGCTCAGTAGATGCTATGTAAGCACGAGAATCCAAGTTTGAATTCTCACTGTTCACATGGAAGTTGTGTACAGTGCTCCACATCTGCAATGCCAGGCTTAGTGACAGGGGAAAGCAGGTGGGATCTAGGGACTGTTTGATCAGCCAGCAGAAGGGGACAGTGAGACCGTGTCCCAACAAAGAAGTTAGTGGACAGTGACAGTGGACAACATCAGATGTCTGATCTCCAAGGGTACACAGGTAAGTGAGCATGCATGCACACGTACATACATGGCCTTAAGTGTGCACGTACAAAGCATCCAAGTCTTCTTTGAGTCCCATCCTGTGCTCTAACAAACTACTTGAGCCAATTAATCACACTCCGCTCAGATTTATCTCTGTCCCCTCTACAGTATTTCCAGACTTTGAAAATTCAGATTTGAATATTAAAAGATGAGTGCAAACTTCACAACAAATGTATGTTCTCCTCTGACTTTTCAAAATGTTCAAGAACCCAAATTTGTGATTCAGTGTAGAAAGATCTTATATACATATCCCCTATCTAGCATCAAATTAATCAACCCTTTTGGGGAGAAGGCAAAATTTTGTTAGTGATTACTACAAGTAAGTAAGCAGGTTACTCAGAGGCCAGAGATATTCGAATAAGCAGTTTTTGTTATGTAAAATCAATAATTTTTCAAGTGAACAATTCAGCAGATTTAGCACAATTTCTGCCCACCTATTAATCAGCCTGAGGAAGCTACAAATGGCTCCCCAGCCACTTGGAAATCCCCACTGGAAGTGGGAGGGGTGTTATTGGAAAGGATCAGAAGCTAGCAAGACAGATCACACGGGGAAACAGTCACATTCCAATCATCCTTTTGTAAGGAAATGGCGGAAGAATTGGCTGTTAACTGCAAAATAGTGTTGAGAACAGGCAACAAGCAATGCCATTTTGACTTCAGACTCTATTTTACCTGTAGGATGAAACAAATTTTAAGTTCCCAAGCCCTAGGGGAGCTGGGAAACTTCCAATAGCTAAGCAATCTCCTCTGTGAACCATAGACATGGAGCTTTCCAGAAACATAGTTCCTAACAACAGAAGGAACAAATGAATCTGATTGGTTGGACTGAAAGCTTACATTATATATAAGTTGACAAAGATGGAACATTCAAGGAAGTCGCTAGTCTCTAAATCCTGATTGGTAAAAATTCTAACTGGAACTTGGAAACAAATGTTTGTGATTTTTGTGCTTAAATACTTGATTCAATTGACATTTAGGGTCGAAGTTCAGCTCTTTTCTATAGCCCTGATCCCTTTCTCCCCTTGCTTTGTGCTGCCCTGCATTAAATTTTGGCATGTGATAAATTCTTGTGTCTACTTGGGTTGATTAAGGGGCTTGGACCACATCAATTCTATGTCATAACAATGACAAAACATGTTCTGTGTTCCAAAACACTAATCCTGATAGGATGCTTTTTAATTGTTCATTATCAGATCCACTTTATCTTTTGAAATATAATATTTAAAGAGGATGCTTCCTGTAAGGGCAGTGCTTCTATGACTTCATGTTACACCAGGTTCTGCTATCATATATGATAGGCAGATTCTCTGGGTTATCGAGTTGAGGAAGAAGTTGGAGTCACTCCTTTTGTGTGATGGTCATTTTAATCATGATCATGTGGATGAAAATAACAGCCCTATTTACAGTGAAGATTTTCTTCCCTCACTTCTTTGCTTATCAATTTAGAAGTACATTTTGCCTTCTGTCCATGTCTGATAGACATTGAACAAATCACACAAACACAGTGTACACTCCAGTAACAATTTTTGAGTAACATACGTATATATGTATGCGTATATAGCCTACTAATCTACGGTGTTACTGGTCTGTACACATGTTTAGTGCTGACTACTTGGGGTGTAGTAACCCATCAGGAAGCTCTTCCCCATTTCCAGCAGCATTTAATCAGCTCTAGTTCTTTATGTGGGAGATGGGACTTGGTGAAATGTCTACATTCATGTTGACATATAACTGAAGTTGCCATCATACAGGTCTTATTTAATAGATCATATTGTTGACATTTCATGTGTACAGTGTCCCTGTCCTGACTAGAAGACAGTAGCAGTAGGCATCCTGGTCCTCTGGCTCTCACAGTCTTCAGCCCCCTGCTCCTTCACCCACACTATTTCCTGACAATATAGGGGCTTTGTTATGATTGTACCATTTAGATCTGGGAACGTCATGTTCACTCATTCTGGGTATTTCTTGGCTGTCTTACTCCATGTCTAGCGTCTTACTAACTGGAAGATAATATGACCCTCTTTACGAGGCTGACAAGTATAGAAGCCTCACCTTCTTCATCCAAGTTCTCAGCTAAAGTTCAAATTTAAAAAGGTCTCCTAGCATTTCAGGGTTTGCTCTGATTTTCAATATTCATCTTTTCTGTTCTGTTTTTGTTGTTGCTGTTGTTCATGGTGGTGGTTGGTGATGTGTGTGTTGGGGAGTATCCTTACAGTCTCACGTATTTATCTCTTCTTTATCTTCATCCTTACATTTACAGCTGCTTCTCACAGATACTGAATGAGGAAATATTACAAACTTGGTTGTAGACCTCTGACCCATGAATCCATACACAGTTGTGCAGTAAACTTCCCTGGGAAGCTGTGTCTCTGATTTGAAACCTGTTAAAAGAAAATACAATGCGACAATTAAAGCAATCAGAGACCCAGAGAGACCTTTAATGGAGCCAGAAAGTTTAAGGACATTGTTAATAAAACAGTTTTGAGGCATCTAAATTTTAATTTAGATTGTATTAATTCTCAGATGGTAATGGATTTGTCTTTAAAACGAAGGTAAAAATTGATTTCCCCTAAGAAATGCTACTATTAATCGTTGCATAAAATAGTCATGCCAATTTGTCACACTCAAGGAACATTGTTGGCCATAGTACAAAAGCCACTACCTGGTGCAGTTTACCTTGAGTGGCTGCCTCTTCTTGCCCCTGGGGTTGGTAGATTAAGAAAATCTGTTCTACAAATGATGAAGGCTGAGATCAACCACCTTGACCCAGGCCTTTGGGAGGATTCTAACCTGTATTTTCTGAAAATTTTCCTTAAACTGGGGGTGGAGGCTGGGGGGATGAGGATGGGATGTGGAGGGGATGGGGGGGGGAACAGATTCAGCTACTGCCATACTTGAATCCAAGGAGTAGTAGCATTTTAAAATGTTAAGCCCACTTTGTGAATCTGCAGAGAATCATCTAATTTTAAGCTTACAGTTGAAAACAAATTATGATGAGCAGATGCTACAGAAGAGGAAGAAGTCTGTTCTGTAGATTATTCATGAATTCTCTTGGCTTGGATTAAAGGAAATGAAGGTGCTGAGCTCTGATGATGTGACTCCAGGGGAGAGAGGGAAGGGGAGGGGTTTTTCATTCCCACCAGTACCTACAGGAAGCAAATTAAATGCTACTCTGAGAACTTCAGATTGATTTAAAAACCCTAAACAGTTCATCAGGCAATGTTAATAAGCACTTGTCAAGCACAATTAGGTGTTTAAGAAAACAGACCAACATGAACAAAACACGGGAGAAAAATGAAATGCACACAGAGTTAGCAGGTGTAGATCTTAAAACAAGCATGCTAAGTGGATTCTAGGAGTTAATAGCTAGTATTGAGAATATTGGACGCGAAGCAGGAGTTGCAAATTGGTGACAGGAGTTCACTTGTAAAAGAACTAAGCTAAATTACAGACAACAAAGTTTAAAATGAGAGATGGGTGACAAAAACATCGGGCAAACTGGAAAAAAAAATATGAGAAATAAACCCAAAGATTAAAATAAAAATCAGTATAATAAGAAATTAAGAAAAACAGAAAAAAGAAAGAGAGAGAGAAGGGAGGGAAATAGGGAGGAAGAAGGAAGGAAGGAGGGGGAGGAAGGAGGAAGGAAAGAAGAAAGGAAGGAATAAAGAGAAGGGAGGTGATATTTAATAGGAAGATGCAATTATTTTAAGTCTACGTATGCCTATTAATATGGCTTGAAAATATCAAGTGAAATTCTTGAAGAAATATAGGCAGACACATGTGGGTGCTTCTGATACAAATCTCTGCACTGAAGGAGGGAACCACAATCACATGAATTATGCTCTCTGATTGCAGAGGAACAAAATCTGAAGTCTCAAGGACAAGTAGGAATGTTAGAAGCACAGGTATGCTTGTAAATTGAGGAATGTATTTCTAAGTAATGCATGGGTCAAAGAACAACTAACAATGGAAATCAGAAAGCATTTTGAACTGAATGACCACAAAGCAAAAGAAAGACTGGAGGTAATGAGTTAAAAATTCAGTATAAGAAGTTAGAGAGAGAATTCAATTAAGCACAAAGAAATTAGATGGAAGACAATAATAAATATGAGAAATGTCATTAACCAAAGAAGTTACAAAAGAGAAAAGGAAACACAGTAAAATTAAAATATCTTTTAAAAAATTATTAAATTGAATTAAACACATACTAATATTAATGAGAAAAATTAATGTGAAATGCATGCATGCATATGCATTGGAAGGGGGATGTAATTTCATATTTACAAATATTAAGGAACAGATGAATAGAAATTGCAAAGACACAATGCAGGGCACAATGAAGAAGAATTAGTAATAACAAAATTAAGAAAGATGCATTTAAAATTATATCATAAGTCATTTCACATTGGATGTGTGCAAAACACTCACGTTAATGATTGTATTTTCATGCCCTTTATGTCACCATTCTAAATGAGAGCTATTCTTTCTACAATCAGTTTTGGATAAAGAAAATGGCATTCTAAGAAGCACAGAGATTTTTTTTTTTTAATGTCACTTGTCTGGTGAGTAGATTAGTCTTTGAGGTCTGACCTCAAAGGCCACGCATGTTCTTAGTCACAAGGCTGCAGGGAACAGCAGGGCCTGCCTTCACCTGGACCAGATGCTGAGGGAACTCCCGAGTCAGCAGCACCAGTTGACCATCCTACTCAATTTTCTTATACCCCTTTCTTTCCGTCCCTAGCTCGCTTTCTCCCTCTCCCTACCATGACTTGCCCTTTTTCTCACATGTGACCGGGAAGCAGGTTCTTAACCACATGGCAGACTTCCACACGCCTCTACAGGAACTTACGAGTTGGGAATAAATGATGAGCCATCCTCCCAGAGCCATGGCCCTTCAGTCTCTTTACGGGAAAGGCCTATCCAAAATGAGTTAACACGGTGAGAAGATGTTTGGTTTTCAATGAATTCCTGTAGTAAAACAAAAATACACACACACACACACATCAGGAGAAACCTAAGACAATTCTATAGGCATTGTGAGATAGTTAATCCATTTAAAGAAGAATGTAATGTAAAACAACAATCTAGAGAGGTCTTCAATCTTTGAAGATCATTGAATGTCTAGAGAGATGGACTTCCTCGTTTTAGAGCCACTGTCAATTTCCTCATTAAGAATAGATTGATAATGTTAGTAAAGAATGTGGGCTAAGGAGATGGTTCAGCAGGTAATTGTTTGCTGAAAACACACAAGGATCTGGATTTGAACTAAGAATATCCATGTTTAAAACCAGATATGTCCATGCATGTATTTAACCCCTGTACTATAGTAGAATATTGGAGAATCCAGAGGCTAGCTGGTTGTGAACCTAGGTCTCTCTCTCTCTCTGTCTCTCTCTCTCTCTCTCCTTCCTTTCTTTCTCTCTCACACACACACTACACATACCAAAACACACATAAACACACAACAATGCATACACATGTATGTGTATATATACACACATATGCAACACACACACCTACATGCACACATACATATAAGTGCTCATAAAAACCAAAAGGGGAAAACAGGCTTATTAGATCAGTATTCTGCCCCATTCAACAAACCACACAAAATCCAACAAAGTCCAGCTCCCTGGCAATTTCATGGGAAATAAACCATCAATTTTTGCACATGTTGCAAATATAAATTCATACTAGCTTTGCCAAGAAACACAGTGCTGGGAATGAAGCCCAGTGTCTGGCAGGTGCCAGGTAAGCATTCCACCACTGATCTGCATCCCCAGAACTGCAATGCATGTTTTATGAATAAATAGTCCAGATTTCAATAAAGACTGGAATTGGTCACACAAATGAGATGATCCTTTGCAAATTACAGGTTGGTATCAGAAGCCATGTGGATTTCTAATATGATTCTCTTCCTTGGCTATATTCCTGCTTTTGTTGACTTTAGCAAGAACTGCAACTATTGGGTGTAGCATTACAGACTGATAAAAATGGAGTATTGAAGATAGAATGTGTGGATTAGAACTGTGTTGTGGGAAGCTTTCCATTGCTCCCTTATCACGGATCATTTGAATCCAACTGTTCTGTCAACATGGATGGTAAGTCCTCCTGTTTCTACAACATGCATGGTACATCCTCCTGTTTCTACACAATTTCTTATTAACAGGGACACCTCTCAACTCTCAGATTACTTGTTATTAATATGACCATATGTTAATAACATATTAACAACTACTGTTTCTCTTTTCAACTATATATAGGAGGGTTAGTTTTTAAACCTCTTTTCCACTTATAAGGAATTTGAGGTCAGTCTTGGCTACCCAGTGAGTTCCAAGTCTGTCTGGAATAGAAACCATGATTCAAAATTTAAAAAAACAAAACAACAACAAAAAAAAGACCCAAAAGACAAAACCTACCTCTTTGTCTTTCTTAGTATTTTGCAAAGAACAAACAATTCATAAATGTACAATATCACTGCTGATTTCTCTTTTATAGTAAAAATGACTTATACGTCAATTTTGAAAACTGAAATGCAAATGTACAAAAATTCAGAGCCCTTACCACTATATTCAAACAATCATGAAGTTAGTTTTGAATGATTTGTTTTAATATTTTTACATTTACTTCTTTGTTTTATGCATTTGTGTTGTATGCCAGGCCACCGTGCTCATATGGGCATCAGTGGGCAATTTGTGGAAGTTGTTTCTCCCTTTCCATTGCATGGGTTCCTAGGATCAAACTCAGATCAAGTTTGGTGGCAACTGTTACCTTCCAAGACCTGGAATCGTTTAAAGTAAAGTTTGATCCCTTTTCAAATTAATTAATTAAAATATAATAATGAATTTCATACTTTACATGCCTATGGTATAATTTTGTAGTTATGTAGAACATTGATATTAACATTGTTGGTCCAAGAATCTCTTTTGTTCTGCTGAACATAGATCACGGGTAATTATAGCCCAAGCTTGTGCTTACAAATTCTCTTGGGTTATCTATCTTCAGTAGATGAGCACCTAGCTGCGAGCAGTGTCTCTTACTTCCAGCCCAGGAATTTTGTGACATCTTAAACAAGTAACAGCTCTTCTCATGTACAATCCAATTAGGAGGGCAAGGCCCAGAAATAAATCCTGGAAAGAAAAGATAATATCATGACGTCCGCTGTGTACCAATTGATTCTTTTAGTGCATTTTCATGGGTACCTAATAATGAGTTTTCATTAGCATATACTTCATTAACATATATTTAACTTTTGACTCAAATAAGACAGTATTTTTACAGAATATATTAAAATCCGTTTGTTTATTAAAAACTGAAATTTGGGGCTGAAGAAATTGTTCGGTGGTGAAGAGTACTGGCAGCTCTCCCAGAGGACCTGAGTTTGATTCTTAGCACAGCTCCTACAACTCCAGTTCTGGGGGATCTGACACACTCTCCTGGTCTCTGAGGTTACCAGGCATTCAAGTGATATACAGACAGATATGCAAGCAAAACACTCATACACATAAAAACCTGAAATTTAAAATCAAGTGGGTAACTGCCATAGTTAAATAGGCAACTATACTTCCATTACTTCAAATTTAATCACAGACTCAATTTCTCTACTGCCCTTCCCTAAAACAAACACACTCAAACTCAGTTGCTACACGCACTAGCTCCATTTCGATTAATTCATCTCATGAAGAGGCATACATGTAATTATATTTCAAGGACTCATGTTTCATTAGCTAAAAAACGTGGGTAGGTAAGTCCAGAGATGGAATAGTGAGGGGAAAATAATGCCAGTCAATTACAATCCAATCAGAAAGACAGACAGCATGTAGAAAAAAATGTTTTGAAATCAATTATTAAATGTGTTTAACCAGAGTTTTCAGAGATGTCTGCATCTATCTGGTCTGTTTCTTCTGCGTATTCTTATTAGTGTTTACACTCTTGTCTTCAGTCACTTCCTCACTTTTCCCCGACATTCTTTTTCCCTTACGTCTATCTGATCCTAACAATATCACTGTAAAAATATCAGCTCCCTACAGGCAATGAACACCGCCCCTTCCTTTGCATACAATTATATCATTTCCGGTAGGTCTTGCCACACAGCCAGCAGAGACAAAAGCAGTTACTGATGCTGTTAGCAAGAGCTGTGGACTTGTGATATCACTTTGTCAGGTGCCTGACAGGATATGTCATGCTAAGGAAATACTGTTATGCATGTTTGCCTGGAATACACTGCTATTAGACATAAACATCTTCCCCACCGCATGCCTCAGCACCAGGAAATGGACCTCTGGAATCCAGGATTCTATTCCTCCTTTATAAAGTTCTGCCCTTGCCTGTGGTCTGGGATGCCTTGGAAGGAGCCACCTTGTCATCTAAAGATGGTTTTGTGGGTTTGTGGTTCTCTTTATTTCTTGACGGGAAGTTTTCTTTCTCTTCTGGATGTCTCCCTGAATTGAATCTCCAAAATGCTTCATATTTCACGAACAATAATAATGACAGGGGGAAAAAAAAGAAAGTCATTCTACTGTGTTTGAAAACTGAAATTCCAGCACCCATATTTTATGAATGCTAATAGGGGATACCTATTAATTATAGATTAATGATAAATCAATGATGCATTGCTGATAAAAAAAAAAGACAGTCTGATGGTTGATACATGGATGATTGATCAAATATATGGAAAGGAATAAGTAATTTCTATGAAGAAGGTAGCAAGAAGAAAATGACACAGACCTAGCTGCAATTATAAGAGATTTGTAATAATAATTCAATGACAATAACACTCTTTCTACTTTCTTTTATTATTTAAAAAGAGCAGGTTTTTGAGAATTACCCAGCTTGTATCACTGTTGTACTTACTAAGCATTTGACTAATTATGAGCAATGAAGACTTTCGGAAAGCATCACACAACTGTATTGACACAGGATTCTTGAGATATAAAATCCTAAAGAGATCTATTCATCTGTCATAAAATATCTGCTTAGTATGTTTTAAGTACCTCAGGCAATACTTTGTAGAGTCAAGATTTTTTTTTATTAAATATCATCTGTAAGATAATCTCCATGTATCACAAAGCTCACAAAATTACACACAACTCCTTTAATACAGCTATGTCCTAGGAAAGGTAACAGCATATTATGTTTCCTTCTCCAGCTCTGTAAGTTCCCCTCCACTAACTTACCCTTTAAATTCCTCTTTTAAAAAAGTAAGCTATCCACGTGGAATAGGACAGCAATATGGCTAAGAATGTATGTTTTATTAAGCAGATTGTCTACAATCTACTCATGACCCCAATTTATAACGATGGGATAGTCAATCTTCCAGTCTGTTCATTCTTCTGTAAGTGAAATGGAAATTAACAGCAGGAACTCAATGGGATTAATGTACAGATTAATTGTCTGTGACTACCATCAACCTCCCTCATCCATACTCACCTAGGACCCCCAGGACTACAGCAACCACTAGGGCGACCAAGCACAGGATTCCCAAAGCCACTGCAATGGGACGCCAAGGGGGAGATGAAGAGCAGCTTCCTGAAAGCCAGAGAGATGAGAAAGAAAATAAGGAAAGTCTGTGGAGCCCTTTAATTGTTCAGGACACTGGAGTGGGGGCAGAGATCATCAGCCACTAGAGTCCCAAGAGTCTAGTCTTGCAGTATTGACTCTCCTTTTTCCCCCCAGCTTCAGGACATCTCTTCAGCTGCTTTGCTGTTATCCCTTTAGCATCCTGTATATCTTGTACTGTTTCTGTTTTAAAATCTGCCTTCTGATAATGGGACATTTTCATCTAACATATGTTTTCCATCACTGATGTACCAACAACTGGTTTTTAAAAATTCAAATTAACCTTTTCCCACAAAAGTAGATCATATTTGGGATTTAAAACCCTATGTCTCCTGGCTATGCCTTGCTATATGTGCACCCCTCAACTGCAGGTACACATGCTAGTCTGGATGCTATTCATTCCCTGAAATCCAACTTTTTCACAGAATGAGCAGCTTTCTGTAGGAGGAACAGAAGCAGTTATTAAGGGTAGCTTTCCTTTTTCATTTAATTGTTGCACTATTTGGACAAACTACTTTCTCCATCCCCTTCTTTAATTTTTTAAGTTTCCATTTGTGAAACTGGATCAATAGCAACTTAAAATACTGTTGGAACTAAATAATCTAAAAATGCACAAAACACACCTTCCAGAAACTGTGAGCACTTTGTAGTTTACACAGCATAAACACATAAGCCTTGCCCCTTCCATAACTCAATTTTCTACCGTTTTCCAAGCAAATTTCACAAGAAAGGAGTTGTGTAAGTGGTTATAAGAAGAAAATAATTGCATAATGTGAGCACCAAAAAGCAGAAGAAAGCAAATTGTGATGTCAGAACCCATTAGTCATCTCTTCCTTAATGATAGCACTGAACTGATTTTGTATTAAGCTTACCACACCAACAGCAGAAGCCCAGGTCACAAGGATGCCCAATAGGAGACCCAGAAAGAGAGTAAGACACCTAACCTGTGAGAAGAGAGACCTTTAACATCCTGTATAGCTTGCACTGTTTTCATTTTAAGAATCTCCTATCTCCTGCTAATTGGATATTTTCTTCTAGCATATGTTTTCCATACATGGTATGCCAACAACTAGCTTTTAAAAATTCAAATTAGTCTCTTTCCACAGAAGTAGATCAGATTTGGGATTTAAAACTCTGTGACTTCTGGATACTTTTGGGTTTCACCAAAGATGTATTCATTTTTGTTTTTCCATGCAATCCTCTATTATTTAATACCTTGCCCTTAGTAAGGTTATACAGGTTTATTTACACTATGTTGAGTTTCCTGGCCACCTCACAAGTAACAAGCGACTCATTAAAGTTCTTTTATTTTTGTCTATCGCTCATGTTACCAGCCCCACTTCCAACTGATGAATAGTTTCTAGGAAAAGAGATTTGGTGAACATTCAAGGGATCTGTGATAACCTCTAGCAGCCTATAAAACATACATATACATACACATACACATACACATATACACACATATACATACACACACATACACACACACACACACACACACACACACACACACACACACACACACACACACACATATATATATATATATATATATATATATATATATATATATCCCCGGGTCTCTATCCCGGGATAAGAATGAAGGTTCTGTAAGAAAATGAATACCTTTCTCTGATCCCACAGGTCTTTTGAGGATGTCTCTAGTCCTGAAGTCCAATTGAGTGTATCCATCTTCATCCAGATTCTCTAGATGAGAGTTATATTCCATTGTTTCATAGGGCCTTGGGTAGGCAGAGCACTTGAATGTTTTTTCCAAGTAAAATAACTGCCAGAATGAGGCTTTCAAAGCCAAACCCTGAAACAGCTCTTTGCTGAGGTTTATGGAGCACAGTGTAAGTAGTCTAGTCAGTGCTCAAAGCAGGAAATGAAAGCTACGTTGGAGTAATTTCCCATTTTTTGCCTCTAGATCCTGTTTTTGAGCCTGTAAATTCTGAAGAAACTAAAGCACTGTATAGTACATGGCTGTTGCTTGAAATCAATGCTACGACTGATAAATAGCTTGGTGTCTTAAAAGGCTTCAGTTACACTCTCCATCAAGTTGGCATGATTAATTGTTGTGACCTATAAAAACTGTTAAGCAGTTTTGGTACCTTGAATTCACCATTGGTCTGTTAGAATTTTGCTTGCATGCACACATCTGTACATGTGTGATTCTGTAAGTACACATTAAATACTTCACAACTGGATGAGCTGGATGTTTGCAGAAAGGTTATCCACAAAGAAACTCATTGCCGATTGCAGGAAACTACAGGTAAGTATCAAAACCACATTACTCCAGCAACAGAAAGCAGATGATTCTCTCTGAGGCTTGTCATCAATTCAAAATATATAGTAGTAAATATTTATTGGTAGTTAAATGCTTTCTCATTTAATCTCAGACCTCTAAGGATTCTATGTAAGTATGTGTTAGCCCTACTATTTTTAAATGGGGAGAAAAAGACATGGATACTCACACAATGGGAATTTTAAAACCAGAACAAGGGACTGGAACAAGGTCTTCTCTGTCTTTAAGACTTGGAATTGCTTTCTGCTGCACTGTCTTTGTTTTTATGGTCTTTTAACAATGCATGCAATAGTTTAGGGACAATCTAAAACTTAAACATAAGGTTAAATGACTGGAAATTTTTCTCTTTCTCTCTTTCAATTCACAGGTTAACACAAAGTGAAAAAATTAGTACAAAATTTGGTTTCTATCATTTGATTACTGTTATAGGTCAACAAGGAGGACATCAAAGTAACAAGGACAGAGTTAATTTAAGGATTGCTATTGCAATTAAAAAAAAGAGAGAGAGAAAAAAGGTCCGCAAAACAAAATCAGAAGGCTTTCTTTCCAGGGCTGGAGTGTGCTAATGAAGTTGTCGTGTTATGGTGCTGAAGTGATAGCCAGAAGGATCCTTCATCAGGCCTTGTCCGTTTGCACTCGTTAAACAAGAAACTTCTCATCTTTTTGTCATGAGGCAGTGGCAACCTTCGTACCTTGGTATGTAACCCCAACTCCCAGAGACAGTGAGGGAGAACAAGGATGGTCCTGAATGTTTGCCCTTGAGGAAACTGTTCAGGGAAGTGGAATTATTACACCAAGGTTAGAGAAAAAATACTGTATTGCAAATTCAAAAGGTAACTGCTGTAAACTAGATTCACCTACCACGACTGCCAAGTTGGTTTTTTTTTTTGTTTGTTTGTTTGGTTTTTTTGTTTGTTTGTTTTTTTGCTTTGTTTTGTTTTGTGTTTTGAGATAGGATCTCAGACACTCATCAATAAACTTACCTCTGACTTAAGCTATTAGCACTACCAGCATCAAGCTTGCTTGTATAGGTACCTCAAGCTATTGGACCCAGGTCCTTAGGAATAAGGCCCTCAGTTACTTGGAAGTCTTGGTAGGTCTGTCAGGTGTGCTGATGAGGTTAGGGAGCACTCATTATATGATAACTGTATGATAATGAGTGCATACTTTTCCAGGTCTAACAAGGATGGAGATGATAGAGCCATTAGTGGAGAGTAACCAGGTGAGATTCTGATTCTTTCCTGGTCTGCCACAAAATTCTTACTGACTATTCATGGATAAGTTATATAGGGTTCTTTTTTATCTATTCTCAACATCTATTAGCCATTCAAGTCATGATGCAATCTTTGTGAAGCAGTGTGATGACATATGGGACATTCTACCCCGAGATAAGGCATGTTGACTGATGTCTGAGAAAACAAGACAAAGAGGAAGATCACCCCTGACACAGGCCATGAGATCTTCATGTGTAAGAGAGAGGGAGGGGGGATCCTCTTTTACTGTCTAGATGAAAGGAACATCCTTATTTTACACCAAAATTTATGTAAGCCATGTAATTTATGTAATTTATGTAAACTCTGCTGAGTTTCCTTCAGTCTTCACTAATCAACTAAACTCAGTGGGTGTTGTGCAATATTAGTTTAAGATGTGTTACATTCTTGTGTGCTGTGGAATATTTGTTTCATGATGCAAAGATGTGTTGCATTGTTTTATGTTTGTTGCATTTGTTTAACTCTATGAAGCTGTGTTACTTTGCCTGCTTAAAACATGTGATTTGTCTGTCTAATAAAGGGTAAACTGGGCTTCCAGGCAGAAAGAATAAGTGGAAGTCAAGATCTAGGCTTGATAGAAAGGGAGAGCTAGGAGCAGGAGCGAGAAAAGGGGGAAGGAGAGAAGGATGCCAGGGACAAGCCAATCAGTAAGACAGCCAACCATAGATTAAGAAGGAAAGAAAGATAAATAGAATGTTAAAAAATTTTAAAAGCCAAGAGGCTAAACATAGTTAAATAGAAATGGGATAATTTAAGTTAGAAAAGCTGGCTAGATACAAGTCAAGCTAAGGCTGGGCATTTCTGAGTAAGAATAAGTCTCCATGTATTTATTTGGGAGCTAGATGGGGTGGAGGGCCCCCAAAAAGTAAAACAACCACACACACACACACAATTACAGAAGGGTCACACATGAGAAGAAGACGTGAAAGTATGAGATAGTTGTTAGAATACGGGCTCCTGTGAGGGAGGATGGAGTAACAGAGGTGTATGGGGCATGAAAATAACTAAATTTCAAACAAAAAAATTAAAAACTGCTCCAAAGAGCTAAGCATCTAAGAAGTTAAGAATTCTTATTCATCATAGGTTTTCAATAAATATATATTGAATCAATGTGTAAACATATTTATGTGTCTATAAATATTAAAGAAAATATGCTGTAATATGAAAAATAAAAGACCCAGAGACTGATGTTGAGGTTCAAGGTTAAGTTTAGAAAAGCAAAGCAGCCAGCCACTAGCTGTTTCCTCTAGCTTAGGCTGAAAGGGCTGATCCAGGAGCTCTTCACCAAGCCTCAACCTGCTGCCTCTCCTCAGTGTGGCTAGAGAATGAATGCCTCAATCCTGAGACCTTGCTCCTGTCTTACATGCCTCCCTAATGCTGATATTAAAGGTATGTGATCCCAGGTGCTGAGATCATCATTGTGTGAGCTGTTTCTCTTGAGGATTGGATCAGTCTTGTGTAGAGCTGTGTGGCCTTTGACTCACAGTGATCTGTCTATCTCTTAATCCTGAGTCCTAGGATTAAAGGAGTGCATCACCACCTCCTAGCCTCTGGATGCTGGGATTAAAGGTGTGTGCCTAGCTTCTATGGCTAGTGGTTGACTTTTCTTTTTGAGCCCTTAGGCAAGCTTTAATAAATCATAAGTATATATCCCTACAATATACTTTAAAAATCAATAACAATTATTATTCTTCAGTTAGTAATTTTCTTTTTTCTCATGTTTATGTTAGCCTACAAAACAATGGACTTCATGAAATTTCTGGACATATGTGCCATTATACTTTTTTTCTCAGTTGTAACCCTTCTTACTCCTCTCTGGTTAGAAGCCACCACTAACCTGAGCTTGGTGTCACATACTCGTGACCTCAGCACATGAGAGATGGATATAAGAGGATTGCAGTTTCAAGGCCAGCTTGAGCTACACAATGAGAGACACCTAAAAAGAAAAAAGTCTGTCTATACCTGACATTAAAAAAAATAAATGATAATGTTTCAAAAGCAATAACTTATAATCTCCTCTGTCTTCACCTAAACTCCATTGTCTGCTACAGTCAATGGCTTTGTGTGGTTCACTCTATAATCCTGAAAAGGAAAAACATTCTGTCTTTCCATGTATTCTGAGTTCTATGTCCAGCACAGTGTCTGGAGCCAGACAGGAAAGCAACCCTGCTTCTCATAGAAGTCATCATGCCAAACTATCAACAATTCCAACTTCTGTCCCAATTACAACTTCAGAAGGCAGGGGGGAATTGAAAAATGGAAAATGCTATTTTCAAGGAGGAAGCATTTTATCTATTTATTTTGGTTTTGTTTTAGTGGAAATATATATGTAATTCATTTAATTTTAACCTTTGCCCTACATTTAATTGAAAGTCATAGTATGATGTGATGTTTGGACATCTGTGTACAGCATGGAGTGGGTTTTTCTTGCGTATTTATTTTGTGCTTTGGATAACCTATACAGTTTGTCCTTCATCCTTCTGCTCACCACCATAGCTCCTCTTTGTTTTTTTGTTTTGTTTTGTTTTTGTTTTTCATTGCATTTACTTTTCATACATCATTGGCCATCCATTGACTAGTCAGACACTTGGCTTTTACTCTCTGTGCTTTTAATTACAGAATCTTACTTAACAGAGTGTAAGTGGGATGTAGTGCCAGATGGCCCCACGAGGGTCTCTGTACTGTCCTAGTTGGGTCAGCAGCAGCACCGGTAGCCTTTTGTTCTTTGTGTGGGAATTTTATACAGTTGTATTTAGAATAAAGTGACTGAGCTTAAAATATTGGCAGAAATTCACAAGGCGTTTTTACAGATAGGAGTGGGCATCACAGTGTAAATAAATCTCCGATGCAACTTCTAAATTCAGGATCCAGAGACACAGCACGAGGTGGTGCCCTTTCCCCCAGGGACTGCTGTGAAGCGACTGCCTTTAAAGTGTTTCAGTTTCTGATCTGGCTTCCTCCTGTGAAAATGTCTGTTGAAATCCATGTGTGCTGACAAAGAGGCAAAGCTGATTCCCAAGAATAAATCTCCTATGAAGTGTGGTCTAAGCCAGGCCTGAAGGAATAAACCAAAATCACACAATCACACAGCAGTGGTCAAAGTGAGGGCGCCATCTACAGCCTTGTTTTAAGAGTTTCAAGGCAAAACAGAAAATAAATCTCATCAGCTTGGGAGTCGAATTGCAGAGTTTAAGCAGGAAGAACCCGGATTGAGGTGAACAGCTGCTGTTTCCTCTTCACAGCCATGGCATTTAGAAGTTTTTGTTTGTTTTTAGACTCGTGTGGCT